CAGGGCAGAGAGGAATGGAGGGGCTCGATAAGGGAGGCCAAGGCCCGACATCGGGCTGTTGCACCATAGAAGAAGAAGATGGTACAGCATAATTATAAGCTTACCATTTATAAGGTTTTGTTTTTTTCACTATAATTGGCTGCCGAGGGGTGCACCTGTCATGTGTACTGTGGCTTGGAAGGTAGTAAAGGAGGATAGTGAGTGTTAATACATGATTTAATGTTAGTTATCACCATGGCCCGGATTTTGATGACCTGAATATATTTAAAAAATGACCTATAAAATTACCAAAAAAATCCAGAAAAATACCTAAAATATGACCCAAAAATGTAATATACAGGGCCCANAATGACCTATAAAATGACCGAAAAAATCCAGAAAAATTACCCAAAGGAGAAAAGAAAGAACACTTCGCTTCCATGTTATTCACATTTCAGAAAACATATGAAGAAAAATTCCTTAAAATGACCAAAAATGACTAGAAATACCCTTAAAAGTCCCAAAATTTACCAAAAAAATTACCCCCAAAATGAAAAAATGACCGTAAACCTAAAAATGTAAAAAAAATGACAAAAATTGCACATAAAATTTACAGTTCTGTAACGAGCAGTCATATCCGAGGTTTATATATTTAAGAGCATCACATAGGATACAAGGAAAAAAAGATGACATGTCATCAAAATCTGGGCCCTGGTTATCACACAGTAGTGGGGCTTGTATTGTCAGCTGCACAGAAGAGAAACTGTCATTTTTCTTTTCCTTATTACATCAAAATACTTCAGAGTTGACACTGAGAACTTGCGAATACTTGAATACTCAGGGGACAACAGCAGGTTCCTTGGATACTGGCTGAGCCATTCATGTGATTCACTCTTACTTTATGTTTTGTAATCTCCTGTCATATGAATCACATGCCTAATCCTCAGCTACATGCACCCAGTTTATAAACATCCATACATATGAACAGTATGAGAACTCACCCCCATCGGAAATAGTTGCAGCTTTTCATAGTAGAATTGTGAATTGCTTGGAGCACCTATAGTTTGGACTTAAGAATGACTTGACTTATAAACAAGGCCTTGGAACATAACCTGTTCAGAAGTCAAGAATCAGCTATATGTTTTATCTCATACAGAATCTAAAATATTATTTACAGACAATCAAAAACACATGTCCTTCACCCATGATAATTTACCTCTTTCTTGCCAGCATCCCAGTATAGACAAGGTGTCCAAGGAGGTCACAGTACAGGCTATTCTAAGCAAAAATTGTATATGTACATGTGTCCTGTTCCAAATGGTTTCCAAGGTATAGCTAATTCAGTGTTCAGTTCCAAAATTGTTGATAAGGAAGAGATATTATGTATTATTTTTAATACCAGTATTCATTGTCCAAGTGACAAAGTTGGAACAGTTTACCTAGTATAATACATTTTCAAAAATTCAACTGTCATCATCAGTGCACTTTGAAACTCATGTGAGGACATGGCATGTTGCTTATCTGTATAGTGTACAGTGAAATTGCTCTATCTCAGAAGCCGTTCAGGACACTTGTACGTACACACGTTTCTTGCTTAGAATGACAGACACTGTGACCTTCCAGAAGACTGATATTTCCTCCTGGGACACTCTGTATAGTAAGTAAGACTTAGAGGAAGAATAATTCCCAGGGTACGAAATTAAATTTCATTCATCTGTAACTTTAAGGCTTTCATGTTAGTGGCTGTTCAGATTGTGGTTTTCTGATTTCTAACACTATGTAACCTTGTAGGTGATTCCAACATTTCAGACAAATTTGCTTCCTCCATCTTCAGGCAGAAGTGAGCGGGCTGAGGATGCAGTCAGGTTATGCAGGGAGTTATGAGGAAGGTGGCTACTCTTGTAATTAAAAATAAAATGTTCAAGAACAAGGATGTGAGTCTTACTCACAAACTGTGCTGCAGTACTTGCATGGCTATTGTACATCCTGGCAAGAGCACAAAAGTGAATTGCACAATATCATTGGCTGTTCTCTGTTAGGTATGTGCTGTGAAACATGAAACAGAAGCAACATGAAAGTTACATTTATGTATGTCAGGTTATGTGGCTCCTTTGCTGAAGCTTAAGTTAGCATGGGACCTTTTATGTTGAAGGGTGTTTTTTGTGGCATCTGTTCCTGGCTCTCACCGAGGTCCTGATTATGACAAGTGGGGACATCGACGTCTAGGCCATCTGCTGAAGAAACATGTAACTATTCCCTCACTTCTGTCTCCCTCGGAAAGCAAGGAGAGCTGGCCAATCATTGCACAGTGTTCGTCTATTGGAGCACTGGGGACTGACCCTGATGCGTGGATGTGTGGAGAGCTGCGGACCAGCATGTCACAGAGAGCAGTGCAACCCGGGGACATGCCACAGCCTCCCCCAAAGTTCAAAGTGGTAAGCAGACTTGTCATACGTCAAGTTTCTTGCCTCAGGTGTCTGGTTTACTATTCTGGCATACTGTTCTGCGGACAAAGCTCCTAGATTTGAAGGAAACATGTGCAAGCCTGAGGAAAAATGTCATAAAGATTTTGGAATTTAAGCTTTGTCACTACTGTTTATGAAAATAATTTGTTCCATCTTTTCAGATTTATCCAAGTCTGCGAAATGTAAAGAACAGCCATGATGATTTGCTTGGTGGTGGTTGTTTGCCATACTCAAGGCGAACACATGAGAAGCAGGCTTGGTTCCGAAATTTCCTGTTGTAAGTACCTGCCGGGTTCATGTCAGTATAAGTTTGGAACCTTAGTGATCAAGCAGTAAAATTTCTGACTTGTATTTGAGAGGTACCCAGTTCAAAACTCAACTGGAACACCACCTATCCTTATGAGATTATTGTGGTTTTCCTTCCAGGCAAATGATGGGATTTTTTTATTGCTAGTGGGGTGGGACTAAGTCCCTTGTACTGCGGCCACTTCTGGCCTATTGTACCAGCCCCAGATGATAGGTGAGGGTGACTGTGGAGCAATTGGTGGAATGAAAATTGGCAGGGGAAACCGAAGTACTCAGAGAAAACCCGCCATAGCGTCACTTTGTCTACCACAAATCCCACTTGAGCAGACCCGGGATCGAACCCGGGCCACCGCGGTGGGAAGCCAGCAACTAACCGCTTGAGCTATGGCGCGGCCAAATGATGGGACAGTACCATAGCTCAGACTGCAGCCATTTCCTTTGATGCTCTTTTCAATTGATTATTCACTATTATCCATTGATTTGGCTCTCGATTCCTTTGGTTCATCAGTCATGGCAAGCAATGCCATAGCTCAGGTGGTTAGCCACAAGCTTCGCACTATGGCAGTCCAAGTTTGAGCCCAGGTCATGTCTTGTGGGATTTATGGTGGACAAAGTAGCACTGGGGCAGGTTTTCTCCAAGTAATTCGGTTTCTCATGCAAATTCTCATTCCACCGACTGCTCCACATTCATCATCGTCATCATCAATCATGCAGGACTGGCACAATAGGTCAATTAGTGGCCAACATACCAAGTGGACTCAGTCTCACCCCACCCCAAGAAACTTCATTCATCAGTCAGCAAAGATGACAAAACTCAAGTTGAAGCAGAGAAACTCTGTCTAGAAAGTTTGTTATCATGTTCACAATACCCAACCATTTAATCCTAACCCAAGACACTTTAATAATATTCATCCCTTCACACATATTACTCTAATATTTATTTCAATATTATCCACCCATCTACACTTAAGTACCCCAAATGATTTCAACACTTGAGATTTTCTAACCAAATTTTTATATGCATTTCTCATTTCCCAAATCATGCTGTTTTGCCATAGGTTCTTGCTTGTATATTGATAATGTGGTTATCCCTGTTAACAGCGAGTGGAAGAGTGATAAGCGGCATCGTTCAAAAGCAATGCCCCACATCAAGACATATGCCCGGGTCTCTCCCTGTGGCCGCCATCTTGCCTGGTTCCATCTAACAAGTGCCAACTTGTCGAAAGCTGCATGGGGCAAACTGCAGGAGCCTAAAGGGAAAGGTGGAAGCCCTGGACTGTACATTATGTCTTATGAAGCAGGAGTGCTGTTTTTGCCAAAGCTACTGGTAAGTTTAACAACACTGGCAATGTGGCATGGATTGTGACGTCTCATGGCACTGGTCAGGTTTGACACCTCACCTCACTTTTAATCAGGAGACTCCTGAAAATTACTGTCTTTTTTGGATGAGATGGCTTGTACTCTGATAGGTATAGTGTTTTGGAAGAGGGTGCTTTGTCCATCTTCAGAACCCTGAAGCTGGAGGCAGCAGGCTCCACTGAAATATGGGTACATGTCTACCAGACTATATAGTGTCTCATCCTGGCAGATGGTAAGCTTCGTAGTCATCATTGTGAGAACCTCAAAGAAGGAAATAGGAGAGTGGGAAGACCAAGGTTAAGATGGGCAGAATGAATATGGCAGGACATAAGAATTTTGGGTGTAAAGAACCGGAGGAATGTAGCATCGAATAGAGAAGAATGGCAAGCAATCCTGAGGAAGGCCAGGGCTCACAAAGGGCTGTCATGCCAGTGGTGGTGGCGGTGGCGGCGGCAGCGACGATGACGATGATGATGAGAACCTCAAATCACACAGGTGGTACCTGATTGAGGTTCTGTGTGATTTGTCTCGGTCATTCCAAGAGACTGCAGAATTATACTGAGGCCACACACAGAGATCTCAGAGAATGTGGTGATGACAGTGCTTGAGTTTTCCCAACTGTGATGTAGTTTGCTTTGTCTTACATAAGAGTTCCATAGAGCAGTTGGGTGGACAAGGAACTGGCTTATGGGACCGTTCCATTGTCTCAGTATAACATTATGTGCTGATTTTCCCAAAGCCCATTAAATTAAATAACCGTCAGTCTTTGCTGTGTATCAATAAGTAAAATGCATTCTTTTGTCAAAAAACCAAAAACAGAAGCATTTAAGGTTACCATTTGTTGATTATAAGACAAAATAGACCTAAACTGCAAGTCTCAGAGACATGGTACAGCTCTTTTGGGCAGAATGATCAACTGTGTCTCAGACATGATAATTCTGCTCTATAGATCTTCATGGCATGGTGCTTATGCAGAACTCTACGTTATCTTCACAGGATATGATGGTGTATACAAGTTCATTTGATATTACAGGTAAATGAACCAGTTTTCACCCTTGAAGGAGAAACAGTGGAAGGAGATCTCAGCTGTCCGTTTCCACTACCGTGGGACTTACCACTGTCAGCCTATGGTGCTGATGATATGCCATGGGTCAATGAATATTTGAAGTGATATGTCTTCAGGCATCTTGTCAGTGCATCTCATCTGGGTTTTAATTCTGTGAACTTTAATACTTTCATCCTAGAACACAGATACATCTTATTTTCAGTGGGTGTGTGAATACATTACAGAAGAGAACTAAGGCAGTAAGTGCTGAAAATGTACATGTCATGGTACCAAATATTATTTCTTGTCTGTAGGATCCTCTGGGAACCTTTATCTCCTTTACATCCAGTGCCCATCCTTCATTACTTGGCTTTATATTCTAAGTTGTCATGATCATCAACATCTTTCACCTGCCTCAATCTGGCCTGTACAGTGTTCTTTAATGTTCATCTCCTCAAAGGTTTTCCTCAGTCATTTCCAAAATTTTCCTTCTGGCATCCACCATTAGGTTTCTAATTGTACTGTCATGTGTTTATGGCTTCGTGAGTAATAATAAAAGGTTTTTGATTGGTAATTGGATTTGTTAGCACCTTCTTTTACAATCTCTCTTAATCACAATAAATTATAGCGCTATCACTAATCTATTCACTTCACAGATCACTAGGACATGCTAAGTCTTCTCAGTCTTCACTAGTCATATCCTGGCGATGGATTTATAACAGTCTCACTTTAACCACAGCACATATAAAGTCTTCTCTTCACAGGCTGACTTTCAACTGACAACTGAACTATGAGTGCCTTCCAACTGAACTCTGTTGTACTCCTTTGTAATCCTTTGTACTCCTTCGGTTTTCATTCTGATTTGATTCTGTTCATTACTACTTACCGTACCTAAAAAACCAAAGGCTGCACATTTTTTGCCAGAAATTCAAGAGGAAAACTGGGGTGCGGCTTATATTCGAAATATTCGAAATCACACTTCATTTAAAAAAAATATATTCATAATTAGTAATACAGGGTGTTCTACTCCTGAAATAATATTCCAAGAAAATTATTTTTTCTATAATTTCTGTCTGAAAATTGTGCTGCGGCCTATACACGCACGCGGCCTATACATGCGTAAATACGGTATATAGTCTCGAGGCGGATCCATAGAAAACACCACTTCCTCTATTGTATTTACAGCGCCATTGCATAGCTATAAAGTTATCTCATTCATTGCTGCAGGAATGTGTTTGCCAAGTTGTACACTAGCAGTGGGTCTACATGTCACAGTACATTGTTTTACGAGGTAAGATTGCCAGTCTCACACCCAACCCCCAATCTGGAGGACCAAGGGCCACTATTTATCTGGTCCTTATCCTTTGACTTGCCTGGCATGAGTGATTGTACCAGAAGCTTCCAACCCCACTGTCAAAGCTGTCCAGGTTATCCAGACCTCTTGATCATAGTAAGGTAGTACACCAATCATTGGTACATACTTAATTTAGGTTTAAATTGCTGTTATCAAGTTTATGATACTCTGTAGTCTCATAGGCCCTTAACTGCCATTTTAGAGCAACTTGCTGCCACATTCTTTGGGGTAAATATTAATTAAGGCAACATGTTCCTGTGAAATGTTTCGTAAACTACTGTCATGTTTGTGATGTCATAACCCATAAAACTGCAGCTCAAAAACCTCACTGAAGTGAAAACCTCATATGTCATGTTATATTTTAACGTCCTGTTGCACTGATTTATGTCCATGATTTATTCTGACCGTCTTACAGTGCATACATTTATTCACCTTACTCTCCTCTCTTGCACTACATGTTTCGGCACTAAAGTGCCATCTTCAGGTGCTTTTCGATGTACGTCGAACTACTGCATTGCATGCCCTGTTGTCTTTATACTAAAATAACTAAAATATATATTCGTCATATATATTGATAAATTTTAAATATTAAAAATATTAAAACTGTTGAGGATTTGTCATCCTTATGTCATATCTCAATACACAGTATAACACACGCAGTCACAGGAGCAAGACACAACACAAAGCACAATACACACATGAAAGTAGGAAGAATACTCCGATAGAAGAAGCTAGGTGTGACTCGCGTATTGAGATACGACATAAGGATGACAAATCCTGAACAGTTTTAACATTTTTAATATTTAAAATTTATCAATATATATGACAAATATATATTTTAGTTATTTTAGTATAAAGACAACAGGGCATGCAATGCAGTAGTTCGAAGTACATCGAAAAGCACTTGAAGATGGCACTTTAGTGCCGAAACATGTAGTGCAAGAGAGAAGAGTAAGGTGAATAAATATATGCACTGTAAGACGGTCAGAATAAATCATGGATTCATATGTCATGCTGAGAGTATGACAATGTATGGTATTTTGAATTTGAGGTTCTCACAGTGGTCACTATATCATGAAATGTGACACTGTATAGTCTGGTAGGAGTTCTTCAGAATTTTGGTGAGATACACCACCTCCATCATCCAGAGTGCTGCTAGCTGATTACTTGCTTGGATTATTGTATGGTCCTGAAGATGGAGGCAGTATATTACTCTGAAGTGTTGATGAACTTCTATCAGACTGCACGTCATGACATCTCAGATGATACTACCCTTCATTTTCCTTGTTTTCGCATACCCATATTCTGGAGCTTGCCTTTATGCCTCTACTTCTGTCATTTATTTTGAGTTTTCTACGAGTATAGTATAATGTATAGTTATTTATAAAACTTTTGCCCTCCATGAAGTTATCTGAATTAAGTCCATATGTAATGGACTTAATTATGTAATGTAATGTGGACATGCCTTCAGAGGGGAAGAAAAAAGAAGTAAATGTGTCTCATAAGCATTATGTAACAGGATAGTTGAGCAAAATATCTTAAAAATTCAAAGCCACATTTGAAGAAGAACTCAATTATGAGTCTGAAAATCTTGGCATTTGGTCACATTATCATTAACAAATAGATTGTCATTTTTCATTCCTTTCCTTTTACATTCCAAACAGGGACTAAGATTGCAGTCTTCTAAGATGTGACACCATATATTTTGACAGATAAATATAAATGTACTGGAGGAGCCCATCTACCATACTATATAGCATCACATACCAGAAGTCCATGACATTCACGAGCATCTCATACTTTCCACATCAGCAGAGCATGTACTTTTTGTAAATGAAGTGAATACAGTTCTACTTTCCTTCCACAGAAGTGGAAGGAACGGATATATTTGGCTTCACCTGCATCTGATGGAAAATTTATTTTCCCTCCTTTTCACAGAACAAACCTCTCAAGCTTGTCCCATGCCATTATTTATTTGAATTAATTTGAAAATTACAAAGACTATCACACATTGGCAATTTACTGTGTGTTGCTACCAAGTTGTGGTATCCATGGCAAATCTGATGGTTGGTTAAATAAATATGGCAATAGTAACTTTTTACATATTTCCTTAAATACTGTGCAAACATAACTTTCCTGTCAACTAGTTTCCTACTTGCAGAACCAGTACTGGTCACTCAAGACACCATGACATCCATTCCATATTTCTACCATTACATACTGTAATAGTTTCTGGATGAAGTTTGAAACCTCATTCCCAGTCCTTTGTTGTCATTATTGTTGTTATTGTTGTTATTCTTTTCATTACACAAGTAAAACTTAATTCCTTAATCTGAGCATCATCCATTCTTTGAAGTTTTATCTACATATACTACAGTACTGACATGGAAAGTAACAGCCCCTGGGCATGAAGTGGGTGCTTCTGTTCGCATACACTAAATTGGTAGCATAATGTGCCTTAGACATAAAGCCCTCACACAGAAGGAAATGTTCTGTTCACATTCTAGCAGCTTGAATTCAGGTTCAAACTGAAATGATGACCAGTTGTAAATGACACTACATAGTCTTATCAAGTCATATGCAGTATAACACAGGATCCATTAGGACAAAGGAAATCAATATATGAATTTCGTTATATTCAGGGCTAGAAGTGGGTGTAGATGCTGGTAGATGTTGTCTACTTAGTTCTGGAGCACTTCATTTTGAGGAGCTTAATTCCAATTTCTGAAGATATCATTAACACTTGTTCCCAGTAACAATACTTGAAGAATTAAATTCACATGCATGAGTATAATAATTTCCTCTTAATTAGAGCTGTTCATTCCCTCAAGCTCCTCTGCTGATCTGCATCATTTATCTAATTATGAATCTGACCATATATCTAGCTCTGAGAAAGCAAAGAAGTCAAAGTCAATGTTATGTTACAATTGATGATCAGCTGGCCAGTCCGTCTTGCTGTCAGCTCCACTCTCAATATATTTATACTGTCTATATAACCAGGAAACACTCTGTTGGCTATGTGTACACAACTGGCCAATTTTCACCTATCACTGAAGTGTACAGAATGAGTTAGAAATCACAACTATTTGCAGAACATTCAGGTAGGAGAGAAAAAGAAGATGGTCTCCAAATTTCTTAATTTATTCATAAAAATTACCATCAAACTATTGAATTAATGGAATAAAATATCTAAAAGTACTTCACTGCATTATCAATATTTTAATAGGATTTTCATAACTCCAATAAAACATATTTTGATCTTTCTGACAGTTGCTCTCATGTGGGGGGGGGAAAAAAAAGCATATACAGCATCATCTGAATGAAAATACATAATTTCACCCCATGGAAGAGATCCTCGAGTATTCTAGGGCCTTCATGGTCGAATTTCGTTTTAAACTCTATAGATTTTTACTTTCTGTTTGAGTCTTGCAGACTGCTTATACTGAGGCTTTGTAATATTTACAAATAATGGCATATTTCTTTTCGATGAATAACAATTATAAATCTGAAAATACATTTAACCAAAATCTAAATGTGCTTTAAAGTGGAATGTTACATTGTAAATGGCTATAAATTTGGATATTGTCCATCACCTTGAGTTCCTCAAATATAATATTTTTTCTACAGAAAATANAAATAGATCTGTATCCTTCAACAGAGGAAAGGGAGGAAAGGATCCTATTCAGTTGGTTCTGTTAGAAATGGCCAGTCTTGATCAATGGACAGAAAATAAGAAACTCTTCTCCCTTATATCAAACAAGTGAACAGATTCAATTTCAGAAAGATAATTCTTATTTTGTAAGATTTAAGGTTTTCATGGTGGTGACTATGAAGAAAGCAGTCTTCTGGGATGTGGCACCGTGTAGATGTGGTGTTAACCAACGTTTCAGAGGAATGTATCACCTACAGACTGCTTGCACCTGTTATCACTGTCTTTTCGCTTGTGGATTTTCTTATTTTTTCCTTCTACCCTGAAGATGGAGGCCATATGTTCCTCTGAAACATCGGTTAACACCACATCTATATGGTGCCGCATCCCAGAAGACTGCTTTCTTCAATTCTTATTTTATTTACTTATAATTTATTAACGATACTGTCTGCAACTCTGACTACATAGCGCCCAATGATTTGACAATAGTAATTGATGATATGTAAAGGATATGGAAGTGGTCATGTCCTAATTTAAAGTATTACCCTGAAAAGTCAGGATAATCATTGCCTAACTTAGATTCAAAGAGAGTACTGAGCAAATAGAAAGCATTACTGTTTAGCCAACTTACTCAGTACAAAAGGCTGTGTCTGAGAAAGCTAAGGATATTGGGCAACATTCAAAATAACAGTAATGCTTACTGAAAATACATTTACTCCGCTTTGTAAGGATCCTGAAACCACCATAAACAATGGTTTGAAGTCCACCAATCTCTGGAAGCATTTGTGAAACAGTCTGCTGCATAGTGGGATACTGATATAAAAATTCTTCTTATGCTGTAACTGGATGCTGTGTTCCAAAAATTGTAAAACATTAAATTTCTGAAATAAAAAACACAGTATATAATAAGACATTTTATGGCCCTGGGGTCAACTCAGCCTCTAACAGAAATGAGTACCAGGAATCTTCCTGGGGATAAAGGGCAGCAGGCACATAAGGCTGACAATCTCCCTGTCATCTGTGAGCCGATTTTCCAGAAAATGTGTGAGCCTTGACACCTCATAATCATATGAGCCTCCACGGCCTGTTACAGGTATAGTTTTATCTTTTTCTTTTAACACTTGTTTCTGTGATGAGACAACTCTAATATATACACACAAAATGCTGATTCTGAATGGGCTCTGCATAGGTCAGTTTCTTTTCCAAAGTTTATAATGCTCTTACTATCTCACATTGTGTAGCGCTGAATGGCAGGATGACTGGTGCATCACAAATTGGAAAGGATTTGGAATGAAATGGTCATGGCCTGGTCTGTGGTACTATCCCAGCATTTGTCTGAAAGTGCTGAGGATATTCATAACAAACCACAGTCAGAATAGCGGTGTTCCAGGCGAGATTCAACATGAAGACTCCCCAAATAGAAGTCTCGAACGTTATCATTACACCAATCTGCCTTTGTGGAGGTAAAATTGGTAACTTAGTTCTGTAACTAGTGCTTACCACAAGGCCGCATTTGACACTTCTTTCTTCGAACCAAGCGTTTGGGGCAAGGCCGGCCTCCATTTTCAGCTTTTACCTGTAAGAAGATATACTGATGCATTACTTACTTACTTACTTACTCATGGAGCTGAGCCCTTCTTGAGGAGCGTCCAATTCTACAGCTACTCAAGAATTTCCCAACATTTTATGGAACCCAAAAGTTCATTACAGTGTTCACAAGAGCCCTCCACTGGTCCCTGACCCAGACCAATCCAACCCATACCATCCCACCCTATCTCTCTAGGAACCATTTTAATATGGTCCACCTATGCCTTGGTCTTCCCAGTGGTCTCTTTCCTTCTGGGTTTCCCACCAATATCCTACATGCATTCCTTTTTCGCCCCCATTCATGCTACATGTCCTGCCCACCTCATCCTCCTTGACTTGATCATTCAAATTATACTTGGAGAAGAGTTCAAATTATGAAGCTCCTCATTATATTGTTTTCTCCAACCCCCTGTCACTTCATTTCTCTTCAGTCCAAATGTTCTCCTCAACACCCTGTTCTCAAACACCCTCAGTCTATTTTTTTTTTATTGCTAGTGGGGTGGGTCTAAGTCCCTTGTACTGCAGCCACTTCTGGTCTAATGTACCAGCCCCAGATGATAGGTGAGGGTGATTGTGGAGCAATTGGTAGAATGAAGATTTGCAGGGGAAACCAAAGTACTCAGAGAAAACCTGCCCCAGCGCCACTTTGTCCACCACAGACCCACATGGGCCACCACAGCGGGAAGCCAGCAACTAACTGCTTGAGCTATGGCATGGCCCATCCTCAGTCTATGTTCCTCCCTTAATGTCAGAGACCAAGTTTCACATCCATACAGAACCACAGGCAAACTTATAGTTTTGCATATTCTAATTTTTATGTTTTTAGAAAGCAGACAAGAAGACAAAAAGTTCTAGACTGAATGGTAGCAAGCATTATCCACATTCAGTCTCTGCTTAATAACATTTTGTTACTGTTCTCAAATATTTCAACTATACCACATTTTCAAAGGATCTATTTTGCCTTGCATTCTGGTGATGAGACAGTAACATATACAAGAGGGAGAAAGAAGAAGGTGGATTGATCTGTGTGCTTAATTTAGCACCATGGCATGAAGATGTATGGTACTCAGTCTCACCTTGATCATGCGGAACCGCTCCCTGATACCAGTGCCACATGTGACACTACAGTCGGTCCACACGCTCCAGTCACTGACCATGCAGTCAACAGGGGACACTGCTGCTCCTGGCACAACATTAATGCCCTGCTCCTTCTGCTGAGGAAGCCCTTGCTGGAATAGCTGATCTGAACAGTGTAAAGATGACACATTCACTACATAGTCATGTGCCTTGATGTATTCATTCTCATGTGAGGCACTGAAAGTGATCACGTTCATGACTTCTGAGACATAACACTGTGAAGTTCATTGAAAATCAAACATTTTGGAGGGACTTGCCACCTATATTTTCAGGGCTGAAAAGTAAGCCAAGAAACCAATGTGAAGCATGGGTATAATTGCCATCTGTGTCATGATGCTTTCTTGCCTGGAATAATCTTCAGCCCTGAAGATGGAGGCAACACATTTCTCTGAAACGTCTGTTAGCTTTCAACAGACTACATGGCATTATATCCCAGAAGACAGAACTCTTTGTAATCACTACTGTGAGAATGTTAAACTTCAAAACTGCTTTAATTTGTTTCCTAGTTTATTTTAAGATACTTCATTAATTGCATGGTTTGTATAGTGTCAAATGCCTATATGATTATGAAAGATGAATTTGAAGCTGTGTGAAAGATAAGAGTTTCAGCCTATTTTAAGGCACTATGTTAGAATTTTCCTGGAGAAGTTTGGGTACATCAAAAAACATTCATTTAGTGGTCCCCAAGTAGAGAATCAAGCCCATGACCTCACAAATTAGAGCCAAGGGTTAACCACTGAACTTTGATATGTTTGTGTTTGGGGTAGCGGGGAGAAGGTTTCAAGGCATGACAGTTTCCAGTGCAATATTTACTGGTATTCCTGGCACACATAAGATTTTCTCTTCTCCGCAACATACAGACTGGCTCGAGGGGTCAACCAGCCTTCTGTCCAATGGGTATCAGGGTCTCTTTCCAAGATGATAAAGTGACAGGGGCATGAAGCTGACTTCTCATCTCCATCAAGTGCCGAGTTCAAGAACAGTTGAGCTATACCTCCACTCCCCCATACGTCTTCATGGCATAGTGCTTTCTTAATTAGTTACATACAGGTAAAACTTTATCTTTATTTATATATAAAAACCATATTAACACTGATGTTCATTGAGAAAATTTAATTAACAGAAAATATAGTTTATTAAATCAGATTCACAAATAAACTGCACTGACTGTACATGACGACTAAATAGGTGATTTCCGTGAGATCAGTCTACAGGAGAGTTTGAAAGTACAGTGGATATGCTTAGGCACATAATCCTAAAAACGGTAGTGGCAGGGAAGCTCAGCATGTAGTTCTGAGTTGAAAGAAATGGGAATGAATCCTGATACGAGTACAGTGTTTTGTTACTTAATGACAGCTTTGCATTATTACATGCTGAATGATAAGATAAACAGATCCTGAAATGCACACACTTACAGATATTCCAACCTCAAACAGGGAAGCAGCAAATTAAATAAGCTGCAACTGATGTACATATTATACCACTGTTCTTAAAATAACTGCTACAGCAACACTCCAGCACTCAAATGAGCACTCATCGCCAACATGGTCTGCCCTGGGTGGAGTAGATTTTGGAATTCATCTTAAATTTTACTATTAAGTTTTTACTGCTAATAGTAGTTACTAGTAAATAAAATTATGTCCAATAACAGAAAGCATAAAGCAAAATGTGAGTTATTAAAGTCTTTGAATTTATTTTTTTAATTAGCTGAATTTGGAAATCTCCAAAATCATCTACTTAATTTTGCATCCTGACAGACCATCATGATATAACAGGGCATGGAACTGTACAAGGAAACCCAGAAAAACTAACTGACTTCATTCAAATTCATGTAGGTTACAAATCTCACAAAATTATTGCAAATGTAATACTTACCTCTGATAACTGCACAGGCATCATTACATTCCTTAGCTGTGAGGAAGTTATTGCGGTTCCCTCGGCAACCACCGTAACCAAATGGCACACACATCCCCTTTCTGGGTTCAAAATACCAGCGCTCAAAATAACCTCGGCATGGGCCAACTTCCTGCTCCATCATGCACACTTCTGCAGTGAACAAACATCATCTCATATGAGAGTTTAGGCTTCAAAGTAAAGAAAAAAGAAAATGTAAAGGCCCTGCATTTAATTAATTATGTGCTATGCATGAAGACATGTGGGGGAGCGGAGGTATTGTTCCACCATTCTTGACCTTGGCACTAGATGGAAGAGAGTGGTCAGCTTCATACAGCAGCAACTTTACCCCAGAGGAAAGTGCCCCCAGCATGAATTGGATCGGAGGCTGGGTGGGCCACACAGTCCGTCTGGATACTCTGGAGGGAGAAGAGAAAAATCTTGCACAGCTGGGAATTGAACCCAAGCCATCCAGCCCATAGTCTATCACTATACCAACACAGCTATACTGGCTCTACAGTTTTACAGAAGTGAATATTAAAATTGTGATCTCCTAGGTAATGGCACCATGTTTTCTGGTAGGTGGCTACACATTTTTTGAAGGGAAATACTCCCTCTATCTTTAGGACTGAAGTGAGAATGGACACAAAGTTAGGGTTTCCATAATATTTTTTTCAAAAAAGGGACAATTCCATTTTCCCCCTAAAAACCAAAGCATTTGGTAAATAAAAGGACATGATAAAAAATTAATACAAACAAAAAACCAATAATACATTATATATTAAATATTGAGAAATCTAAACATATACGTAAATATGAGATCAAAATTATTAATTTATATAAAGCTTTCACTGTTTCTATTTTAAGTCTGTTTCTTTCATCTGAGCTTAAAAATTTACACGTATTATTGAGAAAACACCCTCAATTGATGCATTAGATCCTGGCAGTGCAAAGCAAAAACTAATAAGACATTTAATGTTAACAGCACTTGTATGTTTTCCATTGTAAAATGAGCCAACAGTTCACGTCACTTTTCAGTAACATTTTGGTTTTTTTCTTTTTTTCCCATTTCACTTTCACAACATTTTTGTACACATGAAAACTCATCAAACAAGTCATCTTCATTCAGTGACAAATCAGGTCTTCGTGAAAACATAGTTAACCTGTACACACTTCCAAGTGAAGATTTTTAAACACACACTGAAAAGTTTCCTCACAACAAACGCTTTTTATTCAATAGATGAATATATTTCTGCTAAGCATGTATAACATTTAATAACTATATTCCTTGTAATTTTGTTTATGAATGACAATGTAAATTATGGTTATTTGGTGCTTTTGGTTGCGTGTGGTTATTTGCTGTTGACACGATTTTACTTCTGCAATCAAGTCTTATTTTGACGAGTTCAATAACCAGTCCAATTCGGACAACAGATCAGTGAATTTATGAATTATGTAGGTATGTATGTATGTATGTATGTAAGTCACCTTTCCTTTCAAATTGATCCAATCCATAGGCTGAAGAGATATAAGAAATGGCAAACACCATTCCTGAACATATTCAATTCAGGTATCATAGAAGTCTTCTGCATAGTTACTAAATTTTCAATGGTTATATGTCCTCCTTTTTCTAGATCTTGCAGCTGATCTCTCACAGCAGTTGTAAGAAACTTTTTGTCTTCCTATAATTTAATTTGTCTAACAGTTTGCTAATTTCATTCTTCACTGCAATTATTGTGGTTTCTTACTTTTCAACATATTCGATGGTATAGGAAAAGGTTTTTAATTGGCTGGCAAGGAAATGTAAGAGGGTTAATAAAAGTTGATTTTCAAAGAAATTCTGAAGGCTGACTGGACACGTCTCCAGGGAAAGCAAATAAGATTTTAATGCAAGGAAAATGTCCATAATTCTTTGTATTGCAGGAAAGAGGGAAAGCCATCTTGTCTTGCCATGACCCAAAGCAGTTTTTTACTCTGTTTTGGGTGAATTCACAAAATGATTTCGGTTCATTATCTCATACAGAATAAATGTGGAAATGCTGATAAATCTTGTTAATTCTTAACTGAAGATCAATAGATAGGCAGTCTGCAGCAGCCTGCACCTCATTGTGTACCACATGTGCAGGACAACCACAATACTGACTGAGTGACATGAATTCTATGACAAAATTCCATTTCATCCTCATTTCAAAATTAAAGATAATGAGAGAGGAGAAGGAGGAGGACAAGAAAGAGAAAGCAAAGAATGGAAAAGGTAAAATAAGAAGTAATGGAAGAGGAATAAACAGAAACAAGATGAGAGGATTGTTCAATGACAGTCTTGGTGGATGAGTTCCTACATTTTTTCAACATTTTCTGTAGTTTTACTGCTGCTTGGTTGTCCTGAACCTTCATCATCTTCAACTGACACTCAACCAACCTAGAAACGTGAATGCCACTAAAAACTGCTGTCTGGCTGAAAGAATGTTTCCCAAAAGCCTTACAAAGCATTTCAAGGATTTTGGTAGCAGATTTGTCAAGTTTCACACAAAACTTGATGCAGACACGTTGCTCAATTTTGCCATCCATCACAGACAAAACGAAACACAAAGTTGAAAAAGCACTCATGTAAAAGCACATGTTCACAGCATTGTGTCACGTGACAGATTGATGCAATAGGCTTTCGGAAGTGTGATCTTGGCCTCCCCACCCATCTATTTTCACCGAGGGAGTTATAAGAATTGCAGTCTTGGAACTTCCCTATACCACCTTGCATGCAGAGCTCTCAGCATGAGAGGTGGAGGCTGAACTGGCACTTACGTTTAGCAATGGACATGTCAAAGGTGCAATCCTCTTGTACGACACAGTGTCTCTGTTGCACTATTTCCACTCGTGTGCTACACTTCTCCTGCAATTCCGGTGCAACCAGCAGCAGGCGTGTTCGCAGCTTCACACCCTTCCCACAGGAAGCACTGCACGGACTCCAGTCGCTCCAGTCTGTCACAGGACACATGGGATCTGCCTAGAATTGAAACATAGCAAATAGTATACATACCTCTATAAATATTGTGGTGTGTAGAGCCATTGCTATGCGACGACTATGAGATGGCAGATATATCAGGACCGTTTCTGGGGAACAGCTCGGTAAACATGTTCCCACAAAACAGAAAATGAAACAGTGCCCCATTGCTAGACAGCAGATCCTTAATAATGCAACAGTTGAACTAAACAATTGAAAAGCTATGTTTTCTACATGGTCTATGCAGAGAGGTTATAAGCAGAACAAGGTTAGAGCTTAGTCAGTTCTGTGAAGAAAGGGCTTGATCCCAAAGGCAGAGGAATAGCCACTGTTGGAGCCACTACCAGGAAACGTCCAGTAGAAGAATGAGAACACTAGACTATCTGCTCTAGTGAAATGTAAAGTGTGGAAAGAGTGATAATGTGATAGTTATTTGCAGTTATGACCTGTAAGTGGTCAGTAAACCTATTCCCCAATCTAAATTCTGTCTATAGTCACTCTAATACATGACAATATATATCTGAGTGAGTGTGTGTGTGTGTGTGTTATGTATTTCTCCCCTCATGTCCCTTTAGCGCTGGTGGTTGCTAAGCAATAAAAATTGGTAGATCTAATGGGTTCTGACAATGGTGTATAATATTCAGAATTACTGGGTTTTTGGACTTTTGTCCATCATCTGGTATTCTAGAAACTAGAAAACACAGCGTTTCGGAAACTGGATCTGTTTCAGTTGTTAGGAGAGGCTGGAAGACCCAACAGAGTAGGTGTCTTCCAGCCTCTCCTGAGGACTGAAACAGTTTCTAAAATACCACACAATGGACAACAGTAAAAAAAAAAAAACAGTAATTCCGAACACAAATTTGTTTTAATAATGCATATATATTGAAGTTGGTACATTCTTATTTTATATAACCAAGTAGGATGGTATAATGGTAACATTCAAGACCTGTATTCAGGAAGTTGTCAGTATGAATCAGGCTAGGACACTGACTACACTGATTGAATTTTCCTATGTAGTTTTCTTCAGTCCCGCCAGCCCAATGTCAGAATAATGATTTGATTTGGCCATGACCACCTCCTTTTCAAATTCTTTCTGGTTCACCATTCACCACACCAATTATCTTACTATTCACCACTATATTATAGTCTAGATACTGAAATTGTTGTAAAATCCCTTCCCACAAAAACTACAATATGTTTACTGTGTATAAATTTCAAAATTCCATGCCAGATCATAGTTATCTTCTTGGTACATTTCATGCTTTACATTTTACAGTGCTCACCAAAATGATTTACATTATATGCACGTTGGTGTCACTAGTTTGAATCCTGCCTGGGGTATAGATGTGTGGGTAGACAAATCTACATTGGAGAGTTTTTGGATATTTAGAAAGGGAGAGCATAAAGACAAGTATAACTGGGTCAACTACATTCCCATCAATGTGTCAAACGATTATCAGCAGAGGAAATCAAACTGTAGCACTTACAATTTCCTGCTTTGCATCATCTCCAGTACATGCTGGTTGCATGCATTTCTCCCGCTCTATAACAGATACATGGGGACATTTCTTGCGACCAAATCGATCTACAAATCTCCTGGTACGTGTAGTAGTGCCCACGCCACAAGTGACAGAACACTCTGACCATGGCCCCCAAGGTGTGGTGGTGCAAATCCCATCATTGCCCTCCAGAAGCTCTTGATCACCCTCATCTATAGGACCTCCACTGTGCAAGATCACAATAATTTTCTTTTTACTGTGACATGAACTGTTATATAGCGTTTTACTTTTAGCTTATTTACCATAATTTTAAAGATATATCTACAATACTCTAACAAACATTGCCACTCTTAATTTTTATTTCTTGCTCATACATTGCAAAGAACTCTTCTGAACGCTGTGACCAGTGAAGCACCAGGTAAGACATGAAGCTCTCAGCTTAGAGACTGAGGATGTGATAATGTGCTGCCTGGTCAGAGCTACCATGTATCTCACTGGGTGCCAATAGATGAATATGGAGCAATGGTGAAATATGATTAGCAAGAGCAAAACTGAAGAAACTCCAAGGAAAATTCTGCTTCAATGTTGCTGTGTTCACCATAAATATCTGGCCCATTATATGGTATTTCTTGTTTGTGATAATAGTTCTTTCCAGTGTGACTTGTACAGGGTCCGGCAGGAAAACCTAATGGATTCTAAATTAGTACAATGGAGCCAATTTTTATTTCTTTTACTAATTTTATTTGTCATAATACTTAACAATATAAGTCATTTTGTGTGTATAACTACCAGCTCATTTTGTCTTGATAATCATGTCATCCAGATGCTTGCCATCTCTACGTACGCATTCTTGCAGCCTCGTTGATAACAGAGTCACTAATCTAAAAAAAATGTCTCAACAACGAAAGCATGATGTTCCGTAGTCCATTTTTCCATGTCTACTGAAATGGTATATTTTGAGCTGTTGAAGGTCAGTGTGCCCTCTCTTCCTACATCAACCCCCAAACTAGTGCCAAATTAAAAATGTCAGGTTTCTCTGCCGGACTCCTTATTTTGTACTTTTGGTCTACTTCACTTATTTAAAAAAATAAAAGGCATATGAGATCACCTTACTTTTTGTGTATGTCTCCTTTACATCTGAAAGCCAGAAGAGTGGAGCCAGAAGAGATAGCTGTTGCTGGGCAATGGAACAGTAAACTTGTACTTATTGCATTGAATGCACACATAGCAATAGTATGTTGGACTTGATGTTTTCTATGCTGTCTGTGTCATATCAGATAATCAGTATGTAGTGAAAGGAAAGTAGGCAATTAGTTCTCCCCAGAATTTCTTGTTTTATGTTACAAACATCATTAACACTGACAATTACAAGAATAAGAAACAGACACATAAGCATCCAAGTTGATAAGTCTCCATTTTGTTACTAAATGAGAACGTAAATTAAAAACAATTACAATCAAAAAATTATCTACTGTTTTCAAGGATCTAATATCGTGTAAAATGCTAGATAGTTACTAACATTTTGGAGGAACCTGTAACTTCCACATTCAGTCTAGAAGAGTCAACACATTGGAAAAAGTCAATGAAGCAGCGAAGGCATGATAAGTGCTGGGCTTGAGAGCGAGGTGTAGGGAGTGGAATGGAGATAAGAACATAAAGTGAAATTAAATAAATTGAGAATGGAAGTATAGTGTCAAACTGAAGGGAAATGTCATAGTGGAAAGAAGTGGAGAAAGCAGAGTAGACTAAAGGCACAGAAAAATTCTGCTTGTTTGTTCATAACTTCTTCCTATCCACAACTGCAATTCTTTTCTGGATCATAGGATCCCACCAATTTTATATTCATAGCCTTAGTGCTTGACCCCCCCCTTTTCCCTGTACCAACCTCCCTAGTTTCTTCCCACATAGCTTCTCTTTTACCTAGAAAATGGAAGAAACACGTTCCTCCAAAATCTCGGTACCTATCTACCAGACTATATGACATTACATCCAACAAAACAGTAGCCTTCATGATGATCATCATTATCATGAGAACCTCAAATGTCAAATGGACAAGATGCTTCATACTTACGAACACTCTGGCATGTCAGCAACACACATCTCCTTGGATACGAGCTGTCTGTCACATCCCAGCATCTCTGCCTTTCCTTGATTCAAGTATGCACGTTGCCGCATTCTCAGTCCCTTGCCACATGTCACTGAGCATATACTCCACTCTGAATATTCTGTGACACCGCACTCCGCTACAGACATACAATTGTTTCAGACATTTGTCAATACCTTTGCATTAGTTAATAACGTGTGCTCATGTATTAAAGATAAGAAGCGGCATGCACACAGGAAGCCTACACAGAATAATACCCAAACAGTGCTGAAAACAAGAAGTAGCTGCTGCAGCACTATAGACATAGGGCGGGTACCCCTAAGAATTTTAAATTTTAAAGAAATTTTTAAATTGGAATTGAAGATTTTAAAAGTGCCAGTTTTTAAAAATCAAATTGACATGTGTAGGTTAACAAAGATTTTATACATATCTGACAGATATCAGCGGTGAGGATTCTGATATATCGAAACCTGTCAGCAATGGAGAAACGAACAATTTGGAAGACTATTGTTTTTTAAATTTTAAACTACGTGCAGTGTAGCAGCTAAGTGAGAGTATACACCTGATGATGGCCATTTACGGCCAAAACATGTAGTGTAGAAGAAATGAAGACGATAGAACTACAATAAATTGTTGCACTTAGGATGGAGTTTGGGTCATATATTGTGTAGAGTGTAACAGGATGCTTAAATATATTATATTTGTTGGTTCTATATTGAGATTTAGCAGTCAAAGGGTTATACATATGGATAATTTTACCTCTTTACCCATTTTAATACTGTCCTCACATGGTCTCAAAACTGATTTCTTTTCTTCTATAAGTTTATATGGCTACTATATGCCCTATTAATCCATCTTTCTTGACTTTATGACCCTCATAATATTTAGTGAAATATATTACATCCTTTTTCAATTTCTTTGTTACTTCATCTACCTTAGAACTAAATACACTCCTCAGCAGTTTGCTCTGAAATTTTCTCAATCATTTGAAAAAGACCAGATCCTCTGAAAGTTTGTAACAAGGTCTGATTAATTATACCAAAAATACTGTGTTGCACACTGCCCACTGTCTGGGTATTTTTGATATTCACAGCATTTCAAAAACTTGATCCATTTATGTCATTAGTTGTAAGGCAGAAAGGACCCTATTCAGTTATGCCCATTTTCGAGACTAGCTCTTTCTAAGAGGCACAACTGAGTAGGATGCCTAGGATGCCCGATAATAGAAATTGATTGAGTTTCCAAAACACTGAGTGCATCAAATATGCCCCTGGCAATGGTCAAAGTAAGCATAACATTCATATATTGTAGAAACATTAGAAAAAGGACCCTCTCTCCTCACCCTTGCTCTCTCAAATGTGTGTGTGTGTGTGTGCATGCATGTGGGTGTGGGTGTGTGCATGCGCACTTGTACTCTACTATAATACCCAATCATCAGTGCTACAATTTTTTTTAATGTGACTCACGCCTGGAGGTGTCCTCTGTATTTTCTGCAACCTGCACGGCTTCTTCCAGAATCCTGTCTAGACTCTGTTCATCACAACTCCTCTGAATCACAGAATCTCTGTTCAAGTACAGGCGAGCTAAGGGCAACATCTGCTTCCCTGTTGGATCATAGAAGGGAGCTCTGGGATCCTCTGGATACAGGGTAGTGATACGATGTATCTTCTCCTGTGGGATGGTAGGACTGTTAGGCGACTGAAACAGAAGCATAACATTGTGACAAGGCAGACTAAACTAAAACAACACACACACTGAACAATTCCCAACAGCTTATTTTCGTTAAAGAAACATTATTTATATTCAATTCTCATTAGTCTACTTTCTTAAATAAGGCTTACATGACCTCCTCCTTGTCTTTGTGTCTGTGTATTCCCCTCTCCCAACAAGTTTTGAATGGCTGAACCAGTCTTTGAGAAACTTGGTATGTATATCATGGTTCTTGAGCCCATCCCAACAGCATACTTCATAAATCTCTCCCATCAGTTTTTGTGTCTCACTGCTAGGCAACAGTTCATTAAAAACTTACCATGGCAACAAAAACACACACAATATTACAATAATTGTTCGACAAGTTCAACTCAGTTGAACTCTGCAAGGGAAGCTGAAAAAAGATGGTGCTACAGTTGAGTTGAGAGCTGACAAGAGTTGCATGGGCAACTGTGACAAGAGGACCTGAGTGCATGAAGCTGAAAATTCTCCACTATTAGGAGCCGTTACCAAAGAATGGCTGGTGGAGATAGGCTGGAAAAGGGTTAGCAGGCGCTGTGGTGATTTGTAAAATGTTGAAATCAGTTATAATGTTTCAATTACTTATAGTTCTGAGTGGTATGTGTCAATAAATCCATTCAACAATCCATACTCCATTTAAAGTCACACATACAGGTGACAATATTATCATATCCTTGGTGTTTAAGTCAAGGGCTTCATCTCTGGCCCAGCACTTTGCTGGTTAGAGTAAGAAAGCTTATTAAAGTTCAGAGTTTGTAAGTAGACTTTCTTAGAGTCATCTGATAGAGATGGAAAGCTTGATGTGAACTTTTGTTCTCTGCTGATTTAACCTTAGGAAGGAGAAACTTAACACTGAAATAACAATTGAAGAAATGACTACACTGTACACAGAAAGAGATATGTAAGCTCACTGTTCTCTGGGGTTAGTTTTATATTTGCTAGCATGTAGTGTTCTTACTTATAGTATTTATGAATTAACCTAATAAATTAAATTTATAATTTTATAATAGTAATAGGTCTCCTTAACACAAATTTTATTCATCAAAAGATCAGAAACCCTCTTCAATCAAAATTCATAACACCTAGCTTTCGCTTTAGTGGGGGGTGGAGTCCAACTGGGTCCACACAGCATGGCGGCCAATACTTGGCCTATTGTAGCCTGTCCTGGGTGATTATGATGATGGAGAATTTGGTGGACTGAAGATTGGCAGGGGAAATCAAAGTACTCAGAAAAAACCCGCCCCAGTGCCACTTTGTCCACAACAAATCCCACTTGACCAGACCTGGGATCGAACCCGGGCCGCCACAGTGGGAAGCCAGCAACTAAGTGCTTGCGCTATGGTGCAGCCTAACACCTAACTTTACTGCTGCTTTTGTATGGCAGTGAATGTTGAACAACAAATTCAAAAGTCAGAATCAGAAATATAGATGCTGAAATAAGATTTATATATCTGGGCAGAACATAAATAAAATGAAGATGTATTGAAATAATTAAAAATTGAATCCATATCTGACATAATTTCAATATATGGAATAGCTGGTTTCACTATTTTGGCAGGATGCAAAGAAACAGACTTCTGTAGCATCAAAAAATTACAAATTACATGAATCAAGGAACAAAAAAAAAAAAAACACTGAAGATACACCTAAAAATGAGGCTGGGATAACTGGTCCATCTATCTGTGCTCTATTCAATTCTAGTTACTGTAATACTAAAACGATAGAATAAGATTCAATTTCAGTGCTTGCCATACAAGTTTTGATTCGGTCTCAGTACTTACCATATAAGTTATTCCACTGTCTGTGCCAGCATCCCAGGGATACAGGTCAATAATTTTCTGTTCTGCCCACGTACAGTCCCTGTTACACAAGTTCAATCCTGACACCCCAACAATCCAGTCTGGAGTTGGACCTGTTGGAATGAAGCAGTTTGTAAGCAAATATCTGAGTTCCCCACATTATATCATCAAGATGGTTTTCCTCTGAAACTGAATGTCATGTGTTGCACAGTCAGCACATGTGATTATCAGGATGATCATACAAAGGATTAGATGGGTGGGGAATGTAGCGTAATAGGTGAGGTAAAGCTATCCCTGTAACAGGTCATTGAGGCCAATAGGGTCATGTGACGTCAAGACTCCCATATTTTCTTGACAATCAGCTCACATATGGCAGCAAGGTTGTCAGCCTCATGTGCTGGATGACATTTACCCCCAGGAAGATTCCTGGTATTCACTGCCGTTAGAGGCTGAGTTGACCCCAGGACCATAGTGAGGCTGGAAGGAATAAGTCAACTGAAAAATTCAATGACCTCATTGGGAATATAACCCCCAACGTTCCGTGGCTGGCATGTAAGGCTGACAACCTCACCACCATCTGTAAGCTGATTGTCTAGAAAATGGGAAGCCTCAATATCTCATAACCCAATGGGCCTCCACAGCCTTTTAAAGGAATAGCATGCAGAGGAAAGAAGAAGAATGCATATAAAATTCTGGCAGTAAAACCTGAGAGAAATGGACTACTTTGAGAATCTGGTGAGAGATAGAAGGAATTTCTCACCACTTTTAGTGGAATTTCTTACTACATGTTTTGACATTTGTGTTTGCTCTAAACATGTCTACCAGAGTACTCACATCTCAGAAGACGGTAATCTTCATAACAAAAAGTCTGAATTCTGCTTACATTTGCAAAGTAAATATTATCAAAGTAGTATTTTCAAACAAAGAAATTCTAAGTTTCAAATTTCTGAGAAATCTTAGCTCATTCCATGAGAATTTGTTCTCAGAACTACACAATTCCTTCCTCTCTTACTCACATATTTATCCAGATACCAAGAATCTCACCTAACATAGAAACGGCTGACACCAAAGGATGGCGCTGGTCCACCTTGAATGTGGATGTAGTGTTGGTGTTCACTCGTGGATACCACAATCCAGCTGCTTTGATGAGGGTGCGGAGGTGCTTACTCTGAAACAAAATAAAAATTATTCCTCTCCAATACTGCAAGGAAAGAACTTTTATTTTGTCATCCTAAAGAGTTCAGTTTTCATAATCGTGTTTCACAGTGCCGAACACTTATTTTGTGTCAACGTCTCTGACATACATAATCACTCCATTCTTTCCAAATGTTAACTTCTACTGTAGCAATTTATTTGTAATAATGAAGAACACTGTCACAATTATGTTTCATTATAAAACTTTCATACAGTATGTATACAGAACAGCCTGTATGAATATACTTTTCTTACAAAATAGAACATGGATTTCCGTATGCATGCTGTGTAAATTGAATTTTGCTTGTTTTTAAGTTTGTCTTTTTTTCTAACGTGCTGTGTTCATCGCATTCGCAGTTTTTTCTCTTTAAATGCATTATTCTGCATCCCAGCTCCCATGTTATATGTTTTCAGGATGCAGAATTGCAACCTCATAGAGATTACAAAACACAATCATATAATTTATAACAATGGCCATACTTTCTTTTCAGGGACCTTTGGTCCCACAGCTGCTATTCCTATCATATTTCAGATGGTGCAGTGCATTGCCTTCATTTAAGATGTCTGGAAAGAGGCAATCAATTATTGCAGCCAAAAGAGCATTCAAAATGTACCTCCTGTTATTTCCAATATTTAGTAAAGTGTATTTTTATGACAATCGTGGACTGAAAATTTTTCCATAGGAACATATCTCCACTTAACACTGGAGTTAATTGAAAAATGGTATTCAGATCAAAGAATTTCACAGTACTGACACATTTTCAAGAACACATCCCTCCTCTAATAAGAGGCATTCTGTATGTTAAATTTTTCCCTGGCTGCACTTCTTAAGTGTGCGGCATTTATTATTCTTGTTTCATTCCACCTCTTGTGATTCTTGAAAAGCATATAATCCATCTAACATGGAGCATAACAAATTCTCTCATTTGGACTCTTTTCAAATTGTGCTTCATTAATACTCATATCAGAAATTCAGCCAAAGTTCAGAACATCAAGCACCCACAATATACCAAATTTGGTTCATGCTACCTGTGCTCTTAATTCAGCCTCCATTATTCGCACAGAGCCCCACTCTGCCACCTGGCGGAGACCATCGGAAGCTAACTGGCCCTCACCCCAGAAAGAATAATTGCGTTCGTGTGATGCTCCAATCACATCACTGAAGTGAGTCAGCCACAGTGAGAATGGGAAGTCTTTTGGATGTGTCTGGTTTGACCATAAACCTTCGAATATCAGCTGTAAATTATAAAACACATTAAAACATAAGATACAGTACAGCACTGAACAAACAGTGAGTCAGACAGAGCACGTGGTGCACATATTTTGGTGAGTTATGAATATAATTATGGACTGACAGATGAGATAAAAGAGAATCAAATTTTATCCATGTGTTAAATTTGGAAGTATTTATCATAGTCACAATTTCTGCTAGTTATTTACTCTTTGAATAAATTATCTCTATGTAGTAGAATCGGTTCACCAATACCTGCACTCTTTAAGTTCACCCACAGAAACAAACAAGTAAAGCCATGGGCTCTTCTTTTTAGGCATGTTCACATTCCTGTGGAGAACTTACTGAAATTGCTCTATCCATCTCTCTGGTTGTGTGTATAGATGAAACAAGCTGACATCCTCTGAACATATTTTCAACAAATATTATACTGGGGAGTTTAACTAAAATTTATCAGTCCATTCCATTACTGAAGACCACCTCTGTGGTCTAGTGGTCAGAGTTCCTGGCTACAGATCCAGAGGTCTGGGTTCGATTCCAGGTGTTACCAGATTTTTTGAGAAGTAGTGGGTCTGGAATGGGGTCTACTCAGCCTTGTGAGGATAATTGAGGAGCTATTTCAAGGACATAGTGGCTCCGGTCTAGAAAACCGAGATTAACGGCTGTGATGGACCATTGCGCTGAACACATACCACCCTCTATCCACAAAACTTAGCATCAACTTTGCCGACAGGTGGCGGTCACTCAGTTGGTATAGTTCGCTTATGGACTACTGGCCAGGGAGTTTTTTACTTCATTGCTGATTAAAACTGGACAAAAATAACATACACTCTGCATGAATACCTACATGCAATTCTGCTAACATCTCACTCTTAAATCACTGCAGTTCAATACATATTGTGACATAACTCCTGCAAGGTGAAATAGTGGAAACAGAGAAGACGTCCATTGCTAGGCAACGACTCAGTCTGCGGCAACAAACACACAAGTACCAATTGAAGAACTGCCATTTCTATGCAATGGCATGGTATACACACCGCTGTAAAAATAGAGGAATTGTTAATGAGTGGTGTTTTCTGTTGGGGCCCATTCAAGGCTATGTAATGAGAATTACAGTCCAGCTAGAATTCAGAATTGAGGGAGACTCTTGAGATGGCAGTCAAAGATGATGGTGAAGAGAAGACATATTGGTTTATGAAGTGTAGTAACAAATATAAGCGTGCAATAAAGCCGGTCATCAATATAAATCCTGCCAGTAAGTCAAGCACACCACCAAATATGTGACAATATTTATAAGAGCAAAAAATGTTTGGAACAAACACTATAGAGAAAAATAAATCACACATTTTGGCTCATTATATTTTCTCCATAAGTCTTATGGTTTTCAAGCTAATTAAAAAAATGAAACAAAATCAGCCAGAGTTATGCTATGTGAGCATTTGCTAACTTTCTTAATAGTATGCGATGATGCAATAGACTGACACCTTGCAGTCATGAAAAACACAATAAAATTATTACTAGTAAAATGGGGCTACAGTAGAGGACAGAATAATGATAAACTTCTTACTTTCATTCACTGGCTTACAATTTTTCTCTTTTTAGAATAGAGTAAGCACTCTTTTGCTACTATGTTCAAATAGCATTAAATGAAAGACAAACATTTAAATTCTTACATTGGGTTTGAGGTTCTCACATCAGTGACTGTAAAGAGTACAGTTTTCTGAGTTGTAATGCCATACTGCTCAGAGAGCCTCCAATGCTTCAAAAGAATACATCATCTCCATCTTCAGAATGAAACAGTAAGCCCAGCAAGAAACTGACGAAGGCAGGCACATTTACGCAGCTAGTAAATTCACACACAGATGTGCATGTGCCTGCGTTGTGACCTATTTCAGCTGGTTTCTTACTTGGCTTACTTTTTACCCAGAAAATGGAGCTGATATGTTCCTCTGAAACATCTAGCTGTCTCAAAACTACACAGTGTTACAACACAGAAAACTCTATTCTTCACTTTAATTTATCAGCAGTGTAAATTCTACAAAACAAAAATAATCTGCATGTATGTAAATCATTCATAATACTTAGTTAATGAAATTTGAAAATCTCATGGTAGTAGATATAAAGGTTGGTCTTCTTGGGTATGAGCTATGTAGTTTGATATGTGTTTACTACTGTTTCAGAAGAATATGCTGCCTCCATCTTCAGATTATAAGAATAAGCCAAGTGTAGTTCACTCATTCTCATTATTTCTCACATCTTGTTATTCTTCTCTTAAAATTAGCTATTTTTTACCCTATTCTCCATACTTCTACCAGGGTTCTGATCCCAGTCCTCCTTTTCACTACGGCTACATCATTTTTTTTATACTTCATTTATTATTCTGCTACAAAGATGGATGCAAGATATTTCTCCAAAAATCACTGAAAATCTACCAGTCTACATAGCATCACCTACCAAATACAGCAAAAATCAGGATACTAATTGAAGAGTTCTATCTTCAGAGCTTGCAACCTGCTTCATGCTAGTTTCTTGCTTGGCTTATACTATGAACTGAAGAAGATGAAATGTTCCTCTGAAATATTAGTTGTCTTTCGGCGGATTACATGGCGTTATATCTCAGAAGATAGAGCTATTAAAAATGGCTGCTGTGAGAGCTAAAAAGCTACATGTTACTAGTTTTACAAGGATACACACCTGGTACTTTGCCTCATCACAAGCACAGCACTCCTCATCTTTTCCTTTCTTTCCATTATCTGGCTCAAAAAGTTCACACAGCTGTCGACTGAGGGCCCCATCTTCTGCATACCAGTTGTCTGCATCTTCCAGTACCATGGCTCTGATAACAGGATTATTTGCCATTATTTATTTATCACATAACACCTCAGTTCTTCAGCCTTAGACTCAAGGCCCTCTTCTGTCGGTGTGCATACCAGTGTACATGTACAACTGATGTCTTCCCTAAAATTTACCTGTTACTGGGTTCTGAAAGGGACAAAGCAGAAGAGGTTTACCAAGCTGGCAATGGCCTGTACAAAACCTAAAGGGAAAAATTCCTTTGTGGTATACATACAGATTGGGGAGAAATGAATCTTGAGCAAATATAGTGTAAATGTTGGATTAAAATGACTCCAGATATGCTCCAATGGCAGGGTCTTAAGAACCACAAATTTCCATATCAGGCACGGAATTGGCCCCTGTCAGTCTCTCAAGAAGGACTCTGCCTCATGGATTCAACCCAGTTTACTTGAAAATAATAGAGCCGGAATAGCGTAGTCAGTATAGTGACTGGCTACAGGGTGCATGACCAAGGAGTTGGCGTTCGAGTCCTGATGGGGCAAGAATTTTCACTTCTCCATGCCATTCAGATCAGCTCTGGGGTCAACCCAACCTCCTACACAAGGGGTACCAGATGATCTTTTCCTGTGGGTAAAGTGGCAGGAACGTGAAGCTGACCACTCGCCTCCAGCTATTGCTGAGGTCAAGAAAATATGGATCTATACATCCACTCTTCCTTACGCCTTCATGGCATAGTGTTTATTTAGTGAAGCACAGGGACAGCTTTACTTTTACCTTACCTGAAAATAATGCAGCCAGATCCCTTTGGTGGTGCTATCCACATAACCTGTATCTCCGTTTTGGGCAGATCATCAGCTTCTGAGATGGTGTTGATACAGTGATCATTAAAAGTAGTGAGTGAGTCTCCAAAGAGCTGAAAACTGCCAACACGCTGAGGGGAGGCATCTGATCCTGGCACAACACCTTGGTGAGGATCAATAGGTTCTACACCCAGCATGAAACGGGTGAACTGTTGCAGGTGGCCATGAGTTCGTGACCCCAAAATTGACACTGCAAGATATAAAAGAGTGTTATGTAAATAATGCACCTAGCCGAACCAACAGATCTAACCATTTAATGCATAATGGTCACTATATGTGCCACGTGATCAATCTTCAGAAACTCTTAATTTTACTCACAGAGTGTATATATTGGTCTCACATGATTTGCAGAACACACAATAATTATATTGCTAAATAGCATTAACCTATTGGTCTTTGTAATAGACAGGCGGCACAAGTTCAGCCTCCTTCAAGAAAGACAATAGGAGAAGTGACACGAACCTACTTGGTTTATAAATTTTAACTTAAACAACAAAGTTTTATAAACATTAATACCAGGAAAGTTGCTGTGATTGTGAAAAATTGGATTTTGTGTATATTGTGTATTCCAGGCACTGTGTGTGTGTGTATGTAACACTCAGAACGCCATTGTGATAGTAGTTTCCAAATAAGTATCGATGTTCCCTCTGAAGATGATCCGTAAGGATCAAAACATGTAAGGGAACTAAGTTTTCAAGTAGTAAAACTTAAATAGTCACACTGGACGGAGTTGTTTTGTCTTTGTAAGAATCAGTAAATCACAAATCATAATGTGCGGAAAGATATACATATCTGTCTTGCTATAGAAGAGTTATTCAAGTTTGGCAGACTCACGTGTATACACCGCTCCAGGTACATAGCGCTCTGGTTCACCACTCACTTGTATATGGAACCCATTGTCACCAGGACTCCTCAATGCAGTGGAATGTTCTTCTCTAGGTTCCCGTAGGCATGCATGTGTAGAATCTAGCAAACATATCACCACCAACACCCACCACAGCATCTGTACTGACAGCACAGAATGAATCATTCAGGTAAGTATAAAATTGTCATCAATTTTATCCAATATTTTAATAATTAAATAATACTACAACCTTAATTGGCCGTGTTCAGAGGGCAACCACCATTAAAGAAAAACAAAATTTACATAAATATTTTATATTATTTGAATATTTAAATTAAATCTAATTGAAAATCCTTGAAGCATTTAAAATATATAAACATATTGAAGTCAATGATAGAAGTACATAGATGTTTTTTATGCTGTCTTGTCAACATAATGCCAAAGGCTGTGTAATGCATGATGGGTTTGTGATTTTTTCAAAGTATATATTTGATAGTGTCATGTGGCATCCTTGTAGTGGTTTATGTGTGTTGAAGTGCTGAAGAAACGTAATTTTTTAAAGAAAATTGTTACCCTAAATTTGTTAATAGTTAGAAGAAAAATAACTACAATGGTTTGACCATGTAGGAGAAATGAATGAAACAAAAGGGGGCATTAGAATTAAACTTTTAACAAAGGAGATATGTGTGACTACGCAGAATACTCATAAGCCAGTTCAGCCAAGTGCTAGAGAAGCTCAAGAAGGCAAAAACGTTGGCAAGAAGCTTAAATGGAGAGAATATTAGAAGGTAGAAAATTAGAAAATTTTCACCTGTTGATCCATACATAAAACAGAAACAAGAAGAAGAAGGAGGAGGAGAAGGAGGAGGAGGAGATGAAATTATTGTTGTTGTTGTTGTTATGACGATAATGATGATGACGACAACGACGACAACAACGACAACGACCACTAGTCATATTTACTAAAGTTAATAGTTAATGAAATATTGCACACATCTCTCTATGGCTTTCTAGCTCACTGTATGAAGTAACCACAATTCCAGGCTCATCAATTCGGCATTGCAACGAGGCAACCTACATAAAGAATGCATGTATTTATTTCTGCACAGAATATAATTAGATAACATCATCCATCTATCTGTAGACTTCATCTGTCACAACTACTAAATGAACTTCAATAAATTATCATATTGCTCTCCTGCACTAAAAGTTATCTGGAAAATTTAATTTGGGCTCATATCAGTCCAGTGAAATTGCTTAACCAAAATTTGTGATGATCAAATCAAACTTTATAAATTTTCTCAGAAATGGCTCTGAGAAAATAGGGTTGGAAAGGGGTATACTTCATAATGGGAATCACAAAATACAGTATGACATTCTTTGTACTTTATGAAGCTTATTTCTCACTTATTTATAGAAGATATAAAACACTTTGCTGTCTGTTATACCCCATAAAAGGGAAAGTTTGTGAATGAACTTAAGTAAAGTGGGCATTACAATGGGTCAGTACGGCTGAAAATTAAATGTGCTGATAATATCTAGTGAAATTCTCGTATATCAAACTTCAGAACCATCTACACAATAACTTAGGCGCTGATTCCACTGATGCAATGTCAGAGTCAAAATGACAAACATGTCCTACACATGAAGTTTTCTGTTCTTACGTTGTGAATGGCGCTTAAATATTGTAACGTGACAGAACATAGAGACCATTAACTCCATATATATATATATTTCAAAACTTTTGTTAATATGGTGAATATTTAATTATATAAAGTGAAAGCCAATTTCTTATTCTGTGCAGATCCTGCAAAGCAATTATCTTAGCAACAGAAGTTTTGTCCGTATCAAACATTACGACCAATGAGGTAAATAATATAGCAAAAAAAATAATTCAATACGTTATTCCACATGAGGTTTGAGAATCTTACAGCACTGACTACAAAGATAGTTGATGGGATATGATGCCATGTAGTAGTTCCTCTTCTGTTTCTTATTATTCCCCACCTACTCCATCACCTGTCTTTCATATTTTCTCCCAGCAACTCAATCGTTGAAACAGGGTCTTTAGGGCCACCATTTCTTGAGTCAGTTTCTCCTGATCTCCTCATACCTCCCACCGGTTCACTCACAATGCTCACAGCCTTCATATCTCTCTTCTCTCGCTGAATATATGTGTTTGCGTGCGCGCGTGTGTGTAGGCTGATGGCAGCTTTCTGTCAGTAATTCTATATGCCAGAGAGGCAAGAAGCCGCTGTTTTTTGCCCCCACACTTGTTCCTAAATATCAGGCAAGTGGAAACGGCACTTGTCTGAGGTTCCCAAGAACATCTGTTTGCTATGCTATACAGCGTGGTCGATTATTTCTAGCCCTCAAGCAGAACTCCCTGAAGGCGAGGCATACAATTACAGGGACATCACGTGAGGACAACACACATAATACCCATCTACTGTGTTAACTCCACAGTGCAGGATCTACCTTGAAAACTGACACTTTTTTTATTACTAGTGGTGTGGGACCAAATCCCTTGTACTGCGGCCACTTCTGGCCTATTGTACCAGCCCCAGATGATAGGTGAGGGTGATTGTGGAGCAATTGATGGAATGAAGATTGGCAGGGGAAACCGAAGTACTCGGAGGAAACCTGCCCCAGCGCCACTTTGTCCACCACAAATCCCACTTGACCAGACCCAGGATCTAACCCGGGCCGCCGCGGTGGGAAGCCAGCGACTGAACGCTTGAGCTATGGTGCGGCCCAAACTAACACTTACTTGCATATCAAAATAATTTTGTATACATTTTCTGCTGCTCCGAAGTGTGATACCATTATGTCGCAGTAGTAGTAGTTGTTTATTTAAGGATGCTGTCGGCCGGTACCTGGGACACCGACTATCCTGACTGAGGTCTTCCGTAGCTTTTCTCGGTCCCTCCATACAAATACCAGGGTAGTACCTCTATTGCGGTACTACCGTCTCCTTCTGAATCATTGATCTAACATCCTACCACTCGGCACTATGTAGTCTAGACGCCTACAGCGTCGAAGAATAAACAACAAAACAGAAGGACAGATATACGAATAGATAGACTGATAGTTATACTTGTATATAGAGAGAAAGATTGGTTAGATGGATTCTGTAGCTAAAAATAGTTTTAATAACAGGAAGATATTTGCAGTGTACATCAAGTATTACGAACTTGGAATGCTGTGGGTTGCAGCTGAGACAGCGATATAATCAGATGAGACTATNAGAACCTCATATCTCCAAAGGAGGTCACTGAGCCAAATTAACGGACGTTTCCCGCCCAACAGCAGTCTCTAATACCTTCGGTAGATGGGGGAAGCATTATAGATACTTCTCAGCTAGTAGAGCCGGTCTCGCTGGCTGGGCGGGACTGATGGTAAGCACCAGTACCGGTAGGATATAGAGACTGGTAGAAATCATAGAGGGAAGCACAATGGACCAATACAGGTCTCAGAGCATGGGGAAACCCACCCTCTCCAATAACTAACTAACGGTTGAACTCTTGCATATGCTGTGATACCATTTTATGCAGTTAAATATGAAAGTGGAACAGATTCCTCCGTCAATATTTTGCAGGCGTTTGCACGTGTATACTTCTAGCGCTTCTGGTCCTCACGGCGATGGATATGAAGAATTCTGTCTTCTGGGATATTATGCCAGGTAGTCCATTGAAATTCAGTCGACGTTTCAGAGGAATGTGTCGCCTTAATATTGAGGGTTGAAGAATAAGCCGAGCAAGAAACCAACATGAAGCAGACACCAGCTTCCTCCGAAACACTTGTTGAAGTTCAATGACTACATGGTGTTATATCCCAGGAAATAAAATTTTACATGTTTCTTGTTCCTCCAATCCCATCCATACGCTCAGTCTAAGGTCCTTCATTTGACTGCCCTAAGAATAACAAAAGAGCTATGCAAATTATGAATTATTCTCGTTATGTAGTAAGTTCAACTGCCCACTTCCGTTACAGTCTGTATCTAAACCAAGCATTTTCCTGAATATTTTCTTTTCTGTATTTTAAAGTCGTATCTTTCTGAGTCTAATATTTTTAAGCTTAATATTTAATATACGTACTGCTAGAATTAACATTAAATTTTTTTCAACTGTCCTAATCCTTCCATCCGTACTATGGCCCTGGGATCAATTCAGCCTCTAATAGAAATGAGTACCAGGAATATTCCTGGGGGTAAAGAGCGGCCGGCACGTAAGGCTGACATCCTCATCGCCAACTATGAACCGATTGTCTAGAAGATACGGGAGCCTCAACATCTCACAATCCTATGGGCTTCCACGGCCTGTTACAGGGATACGTTTATATTTTTTTACCTTTTATATTTATATAGCAATATATTGTAGTCGTATATGTTGCTGTCTCGTCGCCAAAATGTAGGGCAAAATCATAACATAACGATAGAGAACATATGTTTTGAAAATGTGGCACAGTTCAGATATTTTGGAACGACGATAACAAATCAAAACCTGATTCAGGAGGAAACTGGGAGGAGATTGAACTCGGGTAATGCTTGTTTCCATTCAGTCCAGAACCTTTTGTCTTCTCGTCTGCTGTCTAAACACATAAAAATTAGAATATACAAAACTACAATTTTGCCTGTGGTTCTGTATGAGTGTGAAACTTGGTCTCTGACATTAAGGGAGGAACATAGACTGAGGGTGATTGAAAACAGGGTGTTGAGGAGAATATTTGTACTGAAGAGACATGAAGTGACAGGAGGTTGGAGAAAGCTACATAATGAGGAGCTTCATAATTTCCAAGTATAATTAGAATGATCAAGCCAAGGAGGATGAGGTGGGAAGGACATGTAGCACGAGTGGGGAGAGGATAAATGTATATAGGATATTGGTGGGAATGCCGGAAGGAAGGAGACCACTGGGAAGACCAAAGCGTAGGTGGGTGGACAATATTAAAATGAATCTCAGAGAGATAGGATGGGATGGTATGGATCTGGTTGATCTAGCTAAGGATAGGGACCAGTGGAGGCCTCTTGTGAACACGGTAATGAACCTTGGGGTTCCATAAAATGCTGGGAAATTCTTGAGTAGCTGCAGAATTGGCAGCTCCTCAAGAAGGGCTCAGCTCCATGACCAATTATGTAAGCGATGTAATAATGAACCAGTCGCTAATATTTGTATACACCGTTAAATGTGCGACGTCCAATATGACTACAATTTAATATGCTGACCATTCTCTGCAGTTTATAGTGTCGGCAAATGAAACCACTTTCGATATAGTCGGTACAGGAAATGAAGTAATGTCGAAGTGGGTTTGAACATCAAGAAAAATGTCTTGCGGGCCAACCTTAGCTGAAAGAAAATAGGGGCGGAGAAAGGCGCTTTATTTTTGTGCTGCGTGCCTAACACTGCGACCTCCAACATGTGGCAAGCAGAGAAGGAAACTTTTTAACACACGTACAGGCAGTTCCCGATTTAAGACCCGAACGCGATCTTGAAAAATTGCATTCTAAGTCGAATATCAGTTTCCCATGGACTTACGTGTTTTAAAGTGAGATGCTTTCCATGACTCTGGAAGAAATATGTAGCAAATCTTCAGGACCCATGTCAGTAAGCACAACAAATAACCCAATAATATTTGTAAACAACAGATTTAAAGCACTCAAGATAGCGACGACAATGTGACTGCACTCCAATGATTCGCATCGAAAAACTGAATATCGGCAAAAAACGGAAGTAGACCCGGAGAGCTAAGAAATCTCAATTATATTTTGTATAGAGTATGAAATCGATTGTCGATTTCGAGGTATCGTTTTATTAATATCGAACTTTCGGTCGACATCGGCCTGAATTGGCATGTCTAATGATATTGTGAGCGATGGATTTCTGCTTGATTATCTTATCACAAAGATAGTCGGTTGTTTAATTAATGGTGTTTCAATTTATTTTAGCGATCGTTGCGATTGGGCTCTGGTTCTAATTCGGGTGGTCCCTGGTTCAATTCTCGGGCCTGATGATTTCCCTTCAAGTAAAGACTGAGACAGCTATCTTAAAACAGGATATGAGAGACATAGAATTACTGTTTTTTTAGACTTTTTCTATTTTCTAGAATACCGGACGATAGAAAAGGTCCAAGTTCCAGTAATTCTGCGTGTTGTACACCATCGTCAGAACCCACTAGGACAAGAGCTTCTTTATCTGTCCTTTCTAGCCTGTCTTTCACAGTCATCATCCTACTGGGTGCCCCGCAACCTACGCCTTTAAGGAACCGCTATTATACGAGTATAAGGTAAAAGAAGAAACATCAGTTTAAACTATGAGATTTCATGTTGGATTTGAGGTTCTCACAGCGGTCACTATGAAGAATAGTGTCTTCTGGGATGTATCACCGCATAGAAGCTCACGGATGAACATACCGCCTCCTTCTTCAGGGTCTTGGAGTAAGCCAAGCAAAAAAATAAGCAAGAAGCAAATGCATCTTGCTTCGCTTGCTCCTCGACACTGAGATAGAGCTAGCACGTTCCTCCGAAACTTCGGCCTGTAAATTTCTACCGCAATACAGAAAACAGTACCCTTTGTAATATTTCATATTTTCAATATGGTGAAGATTTACATTAGGGTCTTGTGTGTTATGAGACCGCTCAATCTCGTATGTGATCATTAATATGAGAAAAATGCTATCTCCATAGTCTACCCTGAAGATGGAGGCAGTGTGTTCCTCCGAAACGTTGGTAACCGCTACCAGGCTACATAGTCTCATATCCCTATAGACCGTACTGTGAAGCTTTCATTGCTGAGATACGGTATGTAATATCCCGAAATTGCTTTAGATGGATTTAGGGAACATAAAAATACTCGTATGAAATAAAAACAGTTAATTCAAGCATTTAAAGAACAGTTATTGCCATAAATGCCACCAGCTTTAACATCGAAAAACACTGCATTTGCACCTACAGTATTTAACTGTTTCATACTGTTCTCAGAAGAAAGAACAAAGATTGCTTCCCTAAACAGCAACAATCGATTGGTCTTCGTGATGGAGACTGCGTTCTCAGAAACAAACAAGTGAAAAGTGGGGTTTGGGATGCCAACTTTCGGACTTTACAGCGGCCATGACCTACTTATATTCTTTGACTGTGGAGGCGTGTGAATTTATGTTCGCGAATATGGCGATGATACATCAGAACGGCGACTTATATGACATCAGAGATGCATCAAATGATCTCAAGCACAACCGGCGGTTTATGTAGTCACTGGATTTTTCAATTGACCTAATCCTTCCAACCGCACTATGGCCCTGGGGTAGACTCAGCCTCTAACAGAAATGAGACCAGAAATCTTCCTGAGGGTAAAGGGTGGCTGGAACGTAAAGCTGACCTCACCATCTGTGAGCCGATTGTCTATAAAATGTGGGAGCCTCGAAATTTCACAACCATATGGACCTCCACGGCCTGTTCCAGGGATAGCCTTACTTTACTTCTTTCACTTTATTTATATATAGTCTTCAACGTTGCAGTCATTATAAAACAATGTCTGTCCACCGAGTCGTTATCACATCTAACCAATAAGCATAATTATTTACATCTAGACAAAGAGATTTCGGTCCTCAAATTGTCAGAGCTCGAAATACGCACCGAACCGTACGAAAATTTTCATAAAAAGGGTCGGTTATTTTATTCGAGTTTGGTCAAAATTGGAAAGAGTTGACAGATTTTAGCAAAGAGTCTCTATATAATATTTCGTGATAATTTTTTATCGATTCTCGTGTCATACCACCATCACAGATGGAAGGACAAACAGAACAACTTTAATAAGCTCTCTAAAGGGTTGAGGACGCCCATAAAAACTGGCATGAACATATGGAAAGGATTCCCCCCCTCCCGACTTCCATTGCAAGCATACAGTAATCCCAAAGGTAAGGTGAAAAATAGATCGTCCTAGATCACAATGGAAGAACCAATTTAGACAGACTCAGACCGAATAAGAAGGAAAGGAGTCTTTTCATCTTTCTCTCCCCGTTACTCCTACAGATAAATATGCAAACTTCATTGTTGGCTGGACGCCAAACATTGTAATAATTTATAAAATTTAACCTCCACGGAAGTCAGTACGATGTTGATATTGTAATAGACTCATAATCTGGAGGTACTCATTTGGAATTTCTTAAGTTATCCGTGGTATTTCTTCAGTCTGTAGATATGAATATCAAGTCAATACCTTGAAAGTGCCATGATCGTCTCCTTCCAAATCCTTCTCTACTCACCGCCATCTTATACACCTCATTCGACGGTATATAGTTGTACCAACATCGCTGAATAACGTAATAATTAATAAGATGTGAGGTTACCTCGTGATGTAGAGTAGCAGTTCACGTCACTTGGCTTCTCTGGCTGGAAGACGGCCTGTAACTGCCGTCTGCGGTTGCAGATACAAACATATCAGCCCAGCTACGCGGTCATCGACCAATGTCCGGAATAAATCTCTCTCACGCGTTTGCACCACACATGTCGATACGTCTGTGACTTGGTCTCTCTATTCCATTGTTTCCCCGAGGTACAAATTAATAATGTGTCTTCTTTCTTGGCTGTTGAGTCGAATAATCACTAATTAGATATGGTTTGGGTAACTTGGGTTCGATTCCTGGCAGAGACATAGATTTTCTCTTCGCCATAGCGTCCAGACTGATTCTGGGGTCCAGCCAGCCTCCTATCTAAGGGTTACAGGAAACATTTGTCCTTGTAGCGTAAAGCTAACGTTTGACTTCAATCTAACATTGAGATCTATTTGCCTAACTTCTGTAAGCCGCAATTGTCATATTATGATCATCGTTTGATACCTCTCCGTGTAAGTGGAGACTGATGGAAACAATAAACAAGTTTTTAAGATGTGAGATTTGTGGTTCTCAAGGCAGTGACTCTGAGTCTGGTCATTTTTATCGTCGTTTTGCAGGAACACACTTCCTCCATTTTAAGACTCTGAAGATGCAGGTAGCATCTTTCTCTGGAAGTATGATAACAAAGTGCCAGATATCCTGTGAGATATCAATATTCAAGTTTCAAAATGTTTCCAAGTTGTCTTAATTTCAGCTCTGGCGCTTCCAAATTTGAAGCAATGACCCATTAACTGCCATCTTTGGACCTTCTATAAATTCTCCTTCCATGAAACTCATGAGAAACTTCAAGTGAATGATTAATATGAACGGTGTGGATATTTTTTTTAATCTACTCCCAATTTCTAATCATATATCCCAGGCATTCCAAATTTATTTTAATATCAAACACATGATCTTGGGTTTACATAATACAGTTTCTGCTCAATACACGTTCATCACAATTTTGAGATGTTTCATGCGAACCACAAAGTACGCATTAATGGACCATATGTACCCCATGTGACATACAAACACCACAGATCTCTATAGTCATGCAAAAAGAAACATGAAGTTATTAAACACAACAATTCTCTTTCAGAGAAAATAAGCATGAGTTAGCACTGGTAATTCATCTCTGACCTATTTGATAACCTTAGTGAGGGCATGCATTCATTCCTGGGAGATATCAAGAACTGCAAGATTTCTGTTGAGAAGCAAAGGCATATGCTTTGATCTTCAACACAACTGAAGTCCCTTTTACTGAAAACAGTCACATGCATACAGAGACACAAAACATTTTCCATATTTAAATACAAGCCCAGCTAAATACACCATACCCCTGCTTCATGAAAAGGATGTTTTGTTGAAAACGTGTCTGTATCACGAAATGAAACAGATGTGAGACTTATAATTTCGGAAGTTTGCCAGTACACTGTGCACACACAAGCTGAAAAGAATGCACAGGAAATGACAGCATGAAAAGCCTTAGGCTTTTATGAGTATATATATACACACACACACACACACACACACACACACACACACATGGTGTTTCACGACTTTAGGGAATAACTGCAGGAGGTGATTTCCTAAGTCTTTGTGATCAAAAAAGTTCATATAAACATGTGTCCGACTTTGGACGGTTACGGAGTTATGACCTTTTTCCATTCCCATACACGTCCTCGTGTGAACCGCGCCTGTCAGCTGGCGGGTCGCTGTCTTTGGCCAGCTACAGACAGAGCGTTCTCGTTATCTCGACACTTGAGAGCTACCTAAGGCGTGGTGGGTTGGTATGTCCGGCGCGGTTCACAACCGAGCGGCAGCCTGTGTTGCGGCCGGCGGTGACATTTTCGAAAATCAGCTTTAAGCACCAATAAATTCAAATTAAAGGTAATTTCACGAAGTTAACTTTACATTTATAGTTTAAACGTATCATGTATTATGCTCGTTTATTATTTTGTTCCGTTTATGGTCAGTAATCGTTGCCTTCTATTCTGAGTTTAAAACGGTCATAACTCC